TAAACATAATTTCCAAGACAAATTATATTCTTTCTTAAAAAGAGCTAAGAGATAATGGAAGAGCGCACAACACATCATACACGACAATGTTTCTCAAATTGCAAACATATAACGCCTTTTTAGATCCTGAACGAATCTAAACACCTTTATTTTACTCCAAAAACCGATTCCCATATAAATACTTAAATTATTGAGGTCCCCGTGGGAAATACTAATGTGAAAAAACCATCATCAATAAAGGGTCACCCTAATCGAGCTTCTCAAAGGTCTTGTGGCTCATATATCATCTTCCATGGTTTGATCTCCACTAAGTCTCCTTGAACGTACTCAATGTCTGGGATTGTAAGAGCAGTTTCAAAGAGAATAACAAAATGTTTGTTACAAAGCATCGAAAACTTGTATCCAGCTATTCTACAGTGCTCTAGTTTATCATTGATCTTGTATTGGACTTTTAAAAACAAAGCAATTACACGCATTAGGGAGGAACCAAACATGGTTCCCTATGTGTAAAACAAAGTTAATAGAATGTAAGACAGAAAACCTCGTGCCAGCAACCATTTATGAATTATGGAAAGGACAGAAGGCGAGATTACACCGATCGGCATATCGTCCAACCGCTGCCTTAGTTCGCAGAACTGATCAGACTTATCTCCATCTCTGTCTCAACAATCATAATTCATATGGCCCCAACTTCAATCTCTTGACATGCAGAGTCTAAACCAAAAATTTTATTGAAAGAGAAAATGAAGTCAGAAACAATAGAATGTCAAAAGAGAAACGTAACAGCAAAAACCATAGAACTTAAACAACATCACAACCCAAATTAATACGATGAGAGATTCCTAGCACTATGCGCGATTTAGTATGCAAAATAGCATAGGATAACGACATATGAAAAATAGGGAAAAACATTTACAATGTAACTGCGTCATCTATATCCTAAAAGAAAGAAGGTATTGACACTACGAAGTAAAGAAATAGTCAAACTTGCGGTGATGCTGATCCGGAATCATA